AGAGAAAAGGGGATATTTATCAATTATATTGCAAAGTGAAAATTTCTTTTTTTTAAGAGTATCCTTTCTGTTCAGTTTGTTCAAGCAACTACTATCGATTTTGTTTGGGAATCGCTTCAGAACAGGTTTGCACCAGAGGCCTGTTGAGCTATTATTGCGGCCGCTGCTGTTTTTGTATCTGAAATCCAGAGGGGAGCTACAAAATGGGTTGACAAATGCCTGGGACAGAGAAATATCCAAAGACCCGGAGAGCGGAAATGCTGCGTGCACGAGAAATCAACGAGCTCTACAAAAATCCCATTAACAAGATAGAAAAACAAACACCCCAGGCGCTTACACAGCCACATAATATATGCATGTACTTTTGTATGCTTAACTGCATGAATACATAATTTGTTCAGTGCACTCAGTCGACAATGTGTGACTCAATATATACTAATAATTCCAAGAGAGTATGTGCCTGTGATGAGAAATCCACGACATGCTCCACATTGCATGCCATTGAATATCCACAGCAATTCAGGCATATACCAGTGAATATAGGGACAAAGTAATAGTAATGGCATTAAATATAAATATAAAAGACAACCCCAAAAATTTGGTCACCGTCGTCTCGGCCTCAAGTCAATGAACTGGTATATCTTCGCCAACCCTCTCCCTTTTTTAACCACTCCTTTTGAAAAAAGGAATACGCCGAGAAGAAGGCGAAGTAACGAAAATAAGTCGATGACATGTCCTCCACAAAAAGAAACGAAGAAACTATAGTACGCAGACAGAGACAGCTGTCGATTTGTTATGATTAACCGTTATTTGTTGGGGGAAAGAAGAGAAGAGAGTAACTTCAAGGCCCCCAGACAAGGGCAATGTATTTAGGCTAGTATACACTCACTTTTGGTAGCTACGTTTTTGTAAGATGGTATAGTATTCGGGATAATCTTTTTTCATTCGGGGCTTACTTAAATATATTATTTTAATGCATAAGGCCTTAAAAAAAGAATTATTATTATTATTAATTTAATTACCCAATTCTTGAAATTCTCCTCTAAAAGAATAGGGGTTTTAACATCATTCGGGCACGCCGAAAGCAGGATAATGAAATCAATACACCCACCCAACGCAAAAGTTCAAGCGGCCCAAGGGAAAAGTTCGTTGCGTTTGTTGAGGGATTTGTGGGGGCAGGGGGATTATGGTCAGGCGAGACAGGATAAAAAGTCAGACGGAAATTAGCTTTTATCGCTGACCTTGGGGCTGTTCGTTGTTCATGGTGTACATATAAAAAAGCGAAGTATATCTAGGTATGTATGTATGTATTAAAAAATATGTACATACATACATATGTACATATGTATGTTTTCATTTGCGTTTAATGTGGCATTGCTGTTGGCAGAAACCATGTGTTAATTGATTGCGTTTTGGCTTAAACTGCTAACTCGCTGTTACCACAATGCGTGTATTCGTTTACCAACACAACAGAAATAAAGTAACGAGCTCCTTGGCAATGAGTTTCCCCATTAAACAGTTTTATAGAAAAGTAGGTTTATTAATTCAATTATAATTTTCGAAATACAAATTAATATTATACGATGTTTAGATAAATACAAATTTCAACTGTCGATGATTTATAAAAAAAAGGAGCCTCCTTGCAAATTTATTTTTGTTACACTCGATTTCATACATATGTACATATCAGTTAAGAGCATACTTTTTTTTGTAGTGTTATTATGCTTTTTTCCACTCAGCTGACGTCAAAAAATAACAAAAGTTAAGAAAATTTAATCGGTTTTCCATGGGTGTGTACGCACATCTCTTCGAAAGGGGGTCGGCACTTCATAAAACGCTATGACACACTTATTTTTCTCTCTGTCGAAAAATGTTGTTCTCTTTGTGTTCTGTTTTGAAAGAAGACGCCACAAAGAAAGCGACCAAAATGAAGGCGCAAAAAAATGAACAGTTATGCGGAGGAAAGTAAAAGTCGAAATCAATGAATTTATATTGTTTGTTTTGGAATGTACATATGTATGTATGTGAAATGGGTAAAAACTCATTGAGAAGAAAATAACCGGCAAGGGGCAAAAGCAAGGTTGTGTTTGTACAGTAAAAACCCCCTTTAATAAGTTTTTGATTTAATAATAAAAAATTAATATGGAAATATATAATTTCGTAACTTATAACTTTATTATTTAAGAATGGCATAAAAATCGTTTTTTATTTATAAATTTAAAATGTTGGAAACTAGTAGTTAATAAACATGCAAAATTTTAATAAGGCTACACAATAAATTCAATAGTTCTTACAGCCCATTCTCATAGTTTAAGTGTTCACTGTATCTGCCATTTTGATTTTGACTTTTTCTTTTTAAGCTTCATTTTCGTAGTTGACTTAAATCTCTCACAGCAAACCATCTCCCATCTCGTTTGCACGCAGCAAAAAAGTTGGATTTACCGTTGCGTATTTTATTTTTAATTTTTATTTTGGTTTTGCTGCCGATTTAAATTGCCCACAAAAAATAAGCAACAATAACAACTGGTTGATGATGACGAGTAACAACAAACGCGACAAAAAAATACCAAAATGAGTCGCTCTCACAGTTAAAAAGACAAAGAGAGAAAAAAAGAATCCAACTATTCGAGCCAAAATAAACAAATGCTTCAATATCAACTATCTGGCAAAAAATTTGCTGGTGGCTTATCGCCTTATCACAAACGCTTTAAAGCACATTCTTTTCCCACGTTACCCCATGGTACAACAAATTAAATGTAAACTACTAAATAAATATTTGTAGTTAAGATGAAAAGAAAATCTAATAATGATTCCTTTGATACTATTAACTTGCTACTGATAAATCGTTACCACATTTTAAATGCTCCATTTAAAAGGAATATTTACTTTTAATGTAATCACCGTCAATTATTATCTGTTTATGGTAGGTTTTCTGGGTAGGGAACAAAAGCAAAAGCACAACTAGCTCATTTAAATGACGTCACGCTTGTTGTTTTAATGTAAAAATGACAGGCACTTGAAATAATTTTTTATATACATTTGTGCCGGCGGTTTTCTGAAGACTGACAGCGAACTGGGTCAATATCTTAATTAATTTTAATAGGCTTAATTTAAAGACAAAGGAAGCGAGCACTAACAAAGTTACATCAATCATTTGCGTATTGCAATCGGGTGGAAAAATAAGGGGAAGCCATGTTTTCTGTTCTACTTTTTGAAAAATGCGACCTCATACAAAGAAAAACAATAGCGGAAATATATACATATGTATGTATGTATGTTTGAATGTATATAAGTATCCAGCAAGGCTTCAGAACAGAATGTTTGGGAAAATTATACAAATTATTACGGATTATCACAAAAATGCTTTGGCATTTAGCAAAACACTTTTTTAATATCCTAGGATTATACCCGAAACATTATAGGAATCGAATCATCATTTTTTCAGACTGTAATTTTCATTTTTACTCTTGGCTATTAGGGATTAATAAAACTATAAGCAGATACTTCCAAACTCACATCCATATATGCACAGAAGTATTTACATATGTCTATATATACATATGTACATATATATACCATCAGAATCAGAATTTAGCGATAACAACAAAATGCAGGCACATCTGATTTATGCGGAAAGAGTCGGTAAAAGGGAGAGCGCGATCAAGCCGGAAGTAACGTTTTAAAGACGAGTGTGTGTAGCGTAACAGATGCATTTAACAGTAACAACAACACCGATCGTTGACAGGTAGGGCTTATGTGCTTATGTATCAAAGGGAGTGCGAGCGAAACCGACTAACGGGAGAGAGGGATAGGGGCAGCAGAACTGCAAACTGCGATTTATTTAGGGTTGTGTGCCTGTGTAAGTGCGCTCATAGCGCGCGTATGTTTGTATGTGTGCCAGTCTGACCTCATTGGCAAACTAAAAAAAAATTAATAAAGAATAGCATGAAAAAGTGTGGAATACGGCAGAGCAAACGAAGGCGGAAAAAGAAGCCGCACCTAAAAAACATCTATTACATCACTAGGAAAATTGACACAAGCATTAGACACATTTACATACGGACAAAAAATTTACAAATGTGTCCGTGAGTGAGCATGTTAAAACGGAAGCAAATTGAGCATTGAAAAATACACTCATTTTGACCCCTCAAACATGTGAATTCCAATAAATAAAGATAAGATTGTGGGGGAAAATAAACAATGTGACCATAAATGTGAAATTTTGTGGGCTACAAACTAATTGTTAGTCGTTATAATCAACACGAACTATGTTCCCAATGTTTGGGAGAGTAATATTGGTTTTAACCACTATAAACGAAAATACTTTTTATAAAAATTAACAAAAACTATATTCGACTAAAAGATGGAGTATATAAATTATGCGTGATATACCCTCTAAAAAATAATACAATAAATAAGAAAAAAAAACCCTACTTGAATGTCTACACAACTTAAATTACTCATGGTACGATACAACTAAAAATAATGTGCCAGGAATGCCGAGTGTGATGGTCAAACTCTGTCAGAAAACTTGGGTATAAACAAGCTTACAAAATAAAAAACCTAATTTTGTGGACTGCAAATGGAAAAAATGTATAAATTAGAGTTACAGGTGCTCGAAGTAAACCGACTAAATATCTACGGAACAAAAGTGTACAAACGAAGAGCTACAAAATTGACTACAACTACACTGCCAGAAACTTATTTCGAAAAAATCATTGAAAATATTGCCGAGAGAAAGCGCTCCGGCGAGCGGCCGGCGACAAAGCGACAAATGAGCGCGCGGCGAATTCAACTCGCTTCACTTATTTGGCATGGGACGTCGACGTCGGCAGCACAGCGAAGTTCGTTGAAATTTTGAATGTGTGACAACGCGATTCAGTCCGCCGCCAGCGCGGACCGAAGTGGTATTTGTTGAAAAAATATATAGCGATTTACTGCAATGGTCGGCACGGCTCGATCTCGTGAGCATAGGCTAAAGTCTTGCAGACTGAGCAACAGCAAAGCGGCGGCAGAGGCCAACAAATTTCGCCGTCCAAATTACTCACACTAAGAAGTTCGAGCATGAATAGTGTGTGTGCCGACCACTGGTTTACTGGGAAACGCATCCCTCTCTTTCGTCCTTCGTCTGGCTGTCCCTGCCTCTCGCCGCCACTGTTATTTTCTCCAACAACATGCTAGCTCGGAATGTTAGAAGGCTCATTTTGATTGCCAAAGGACAAAGATTTGTCGCTGGCACTAATTCCTTATGTTAACAAATAGAGCGATGAGTTACAGCGGGCAAAATAAACTATCTTGCCACTGTAGGGAGAAGTAAAGAAACGATTTCTTGCAGGCTCTTTAGAAAATATATTTCACAATATATTTAAATGCCTGCGAAAACATCAGTACCATGTATATACTTCTGAACTTTAGGCCCAATGTGCCAAATACACAAAGGCACATCAAAAATGGCTTAGAGAAGAAGAAGCAGCCCCGCGTGTCGTCATCCCCTCCCACAAAACTCTTGAATGTATTGAAAAATGCAGAAATTTGTTGTTTGGTTTTTAGCAACTCATTTTTTTTTTGTTGGTTATTGTTTATTGGTTTTTACTCACTGCTGAAATGTTAATAACAGCCCTCGTTACTGTTGTGGGCACTCTCTCTCTCTCTCTTTTATTTTTTTGTGGTTTCAATGAAAGTGCGCCACAAAGCTGCAAATCGAAATTCGTAATGATTTCATTTGAATTTTAAACGAGAACAAACATAAAACTTATGAATTTCAATGGAGCAAAAGAAAATCAAAATAAAAACAATAAATGAAACTGAAATGTATGCAAAACGAGTTATGAAATGAGAATGAGAGAGCTAAAGGAAGTGTGCGAGAGAGAAAGAGCGCTAGTTACAATATTTGATTTTGTACGAATTTCTCGTAAACTTAACTAGGCGTACAATAGATAAATTAACTAAAGATACCAAAAAAACACAACTAAAAGGAGGTAAAGAAAGAAAAATCAAAAAGTAAAAGAATGAAATGAAAAAATATCACCTTTTTTGTCGCTTCTCTGTCTCGTTCTCTCAGCTTTGCACGTTTACTCTCTTTTGAGGCTTTGTGGTTGTCGCTGCTCTCTCTCCCGTCCGCTCTCTCACACTCTTAGTTGCTGCGCTATCTCTTTCTTTCCCGTTGCCTTGCAGCGGAGCTCTGCTGCCGTCTCGCTTGCACTTGCGCTCCGCTGCTCTGCTTCTGCCGCCGAATTCGCTGTTAACTTCGTGCTGCCCTCTGCTGTTTTGTGGTTTTTGCTTTAATGTTTTCTTTAACGATTTTACACACTTTTTGATTGAACGTACTACTTAGTTATTCGCTTGATACGCTCGTGATTGAACTGTTTTCGTTATATACTCTCTAAACTGACAAAAGGGGAGTTTAAAAAGGGGGCATACCCGAGTCAATCTAAATTTGGAGCAAGCAAGACAAGATGAGACGACCCCGGCGAATTGGCACGGCGAGAGCGAAGCGCGGCGAAAACGGCACACTGGCATTGGCCATGGCAGCAATTGTCGCCCGCCTTCATTGTGTGAGTCGCGATAAACGCGAGCGAAACGGGCGGCGCGTCGCGACTGAAAACCTCGTACCGGACAACGCACACTAGCACACCAAAACTATATACATATACGGGCGAGAGAGCGCATGCTCTCCGCCACACACACGTTGTTCTTCGTTCGCTTTTGTGGCGCCGCGCGAGTTTTGTCGCAGCAGCAAACACGCAATAAAAGTTCAAAAACAGTTGAAGTATACCGCGACGCGAGTAAAAATCTTTCCTTCGACGTCGTCGCTGTTCGTTTGTAGTAGTTGTTGTTTTTGTTATGTGTCTGCTTTTCCGCGAATTTTCGTGTGCATTTATATACATGCGTATATATATGCATATATGACAAGCGAAAAGGTAAAAAAAAAAAAAAAAAAACTTGGAACGGCGTAAACGCAAAAGTTAGGAAAATGTGTGCCAAATGTCTAGGAAACCCCCCTTATTTTCTTTTTGTTTAAATTAATCCGCATATCATGGTGTGCTGCGGCTGCAAGTCATTTTGTGTTGCTCGCCGACATTCTTGCTTGCTCCAAAAAAAGTGTGAGTTTTTGAGTTGTTTTCGTTGCGTTTTGTTGTTGCATTATTATTGAATATTTGTCAGTATCGGTACCAGAGGTGAATGTAGATGACCAAAAATAAATTCTGAGAGCACAAGTCTGAGCACACACGATACGTCTCGTCTCTTCGTTTGGCCGTTTCACTTTGAGCAGCGTGACCGTGGTGCGTCGTTAAAATATGCCCGACACTCCATGCCAAACGATCCCTAGCGCGTTGTGCAGTGTTCCGCAAAAATACTAAAATACCCCGAAGCCGAAACTCGGAAAACTTGGGAAACTCGGGTAGCGTCGTTGACTTCAGTTCAATGTTTAAATGCAACTTTAACACTCAGAGTTAACTGCTTCCAAATTTCCCCAACAAATCACACAAATAAAAAGGAAGTTCTTTTAAAAATGCGCCACAATACAATGCATCGCTAACATACCAATGCAGGCGATTTCCGCAGACTCGAACCGACTTAAAAAAACAGCTGTGCCTTTTTCAAATGTTTTGCACGTTCTTTGTTAGAGTTAGACCTTCATTTGTAGGTAAAAGACTACCAGTTAATAACATAATTCCGATAGAGATGGACTGCATTGTTTTTAATATATATATATATATACATCGAACAACACAAATAAATATAATAGCCGTATTTGGCTCATGAGAAAAACGTGGTACGTTACTCAAAAAATACCAGATGTTGGTTTACCGCAGTCACGAACCCATTTGACAAAACAGCTGTGTTTTTCTTAAATGTATATATGTATATATATATATTTCTGTTTGAGTTGCAGGTTCTATCTGCTGCAGGTCCGTCATCTATTTAAAAACTATGCTATCCGTGCGGTCTGACTTGTTTGAGCGATATAAGTTTTAAATTTCAAGTTGGTTCCCGCCAAGGTTCAAGACTAATATGCTCTTGCGACGACAACCAATTGTATTGTAAAAATAAGAAACTAACAAACGGCGACACAACATACACGTGCCGCGTTAAATCCTGTAAAGCGCGAGTATATCTGACGGAGGACGAAAGACCACCTATGTCACAGCCATGGAGCCCAAGATCTCAAGTTGAAAAAAATCAATGCGATCGAGGAAATCAAAAACAGGTGCGCAAGCTCACCGACAAGAAAACGGATCTCATACAGATTTTCAACGACGTTATGGAGTAAGTACTAGACAGTTGTAAACTACAACAATTTAGGCATTTTATTTAGTTTATTTCGTAAAAGCATTTTAAGTTTTTAAAGGAAGCACACGTTCTTGGATTTCAAAGATTTCGATCGGACCTGCAATAACTTATCCCTATTTCATTTATTTTAAGATACACCCAGGAAGGAGCTGAAATTGAAATTTCGTACGATAATTGCAGACGGACATTGCAACGTAAAAGAAAGGAATTCGGAAATCTAAAATTCCAGGGCAAACGCTACACAAAAATCTAAAGTAATGTGTAAGTTGTATTTGTTTGATTTTAATTGTAGCAAAAAAAAAAATATATATATATTTATACTTATAGGATAATGGATGACAATGAAATGGTTGAGCCGACACTGCGCCTAAATGAGTTATTCCACAAGCAAAGACATTTTCCATTGGGTACAAATAGATAAGATAAGATAAGCCTTGTTTTTAAAAACAAGAAGCAAAAACAAGCTGATGACTTCTATGAAGTTAAACCAATTATACCAATAACTGTAATAAAATGTATTTATTTACAAATGAGTCTGAACCGAATGTGTGTCCTGTATTTTCCTATAAAAAAAGGGCTTAATAAATTAAGCCCTAGCTTTGTCTGTCTTAACTTTTGCCTAAATTCGGTGAAAATGTCTAGGAAAAACAAAAGGAATATATTGGAAATATTATCAATCAATTAAATTTCAAAACTTTTCTTCTTTTTTTATTATTTTCATGTTGACCCTGTGTTTTCTTATACATTTGAGTAGAAGAGAGCGACTACCCTGGCTTTTCAGCAATTCAATAAAATTTTCAGCAGCCTCTGGGTTGCTGAACTGCTGAAATTTCAGCCAAAACTGAGGGGCTATTTTGCGTAGAAGCGGACGGACAGACGGACATGGCTAGATCGCCTCTCTTAATGATGCTGATCAAGAATATATATACTTAATTGGATCGGAAACGTCGAAAACTTCTGACTAAAATTATAATACCACCCTCTGCAAGAGTATAACAAATACCATAACGTACTCACTTTTGAAGCTCTGGACGACCAGATTTCTTGATTTCACTTAGTGCCTTCAAAATCGTTGTGGTATTGGTTTATATTAATCACAATCCTATTTTTAATCACTGCGACTTCAATGCAAATTTTCTATTACTTTTTTTTTTTTCGCCCGTTTTTTTTTTTTTTTTGCTGTTAGTTGATTCGTTTCCGACAAGATGAGAACTTCAACTGAAAGCACACAGCCATTTGCTTTGACAGGACACTTTTCAAAGCCTACTAAAGTTTTAAAAATTTGTCATTTGCTTAGATTTGACACTTCTCACGGCCTACTAAATTTTGAAAAATTTCAAACAATTATAATATATATAATATTATGACAGATTTTAGTAGTTAGCTAAAAAAAAAAACTTGCATTAAAAAAAGGCAAGTAAAAATAGGTTTGAAAAATCATAAATTGCCAAGATTTAATTTTGGGTATTTGCTTAAATTCGATGAAACTTCTCTATTGCCATTTATTTGGTTATTATTTCATATTGACCCAGTGTTGTCTTATAAATTTTAGTAAAAAAGCGACTACCCTGGATTTTCAGCAGCCTCTGGGTTGCTGAACTGCGGAAATTTCGGAGTTACAGCAATTCAGACCAGAGATAATTTTTAAAGAACATCTAGAAGAGTAACCCTGGATGAATGCTCTGCTTAACTGCCTGAATAAACCCCTAAGATTTGACAAAGACTTTAACCATGAAATTATACCCTTCTTTTAAATAATTTAATTTGTAATTACCACTAGGAACCTCTTTAAATTGCTGACTCATTTAATATCTAGTAAATACCCCAACGTACTTACTCTTGAAGCTCTGGACGACCAGATTTCTTGATTTCACTTAGTGCCTCCAAAATCGTTGTGGTCTTGGTTTATATTAATCACAATACTATTTTTGATCACTACGGCTCTAATGGAAATCTTCTATTCGTTTTCTTTTTTTCGCCCGGTTTTTTTTTCTGCTGTTAGTTGATACGTTTCCGACAAGATGAAAATATCGACTGAAAACACACAGTCATTTGCTTTGACAGGACACTTTTCAAGGCCTACTAAAGTTTTCAAAATTTTGCATTTCCTTAGACTGGACACTTCTCAAGGCCTACTAAATTTTTAATAATTTAAAAACTTAATTTTATCTCTATCTATTTTACAGCATTGTATTTCCGATAAATATTATAAGAGATTTTAGTAGTAGTCAGTTAGCTAAAAAAAAAACTTGCATTAAAAAAAGGCAAGTAAAAATAGGTTTGAAAAATCATAAATTGCCAAGATCTAAACTTGGGTATTTGCTTAAATTCGATGAAACTTCTCTATTGCCATTTATTTGGTTATTATTTCATGTTGACCCAGTGTTGTCTTATAAATTTTAGTAGAAGAGCGACTACCCTGGATTTTCAGCAGCCTCTGGGTTGCTGAACTGCTGAAATTTCGGAGTTTCAGCAATTCAGACCAGAGATAATTTTTAAAGAACATCTAGAGTAACCCTGGATGATTTGATTTGTAATTACCACTAGAAACCTCTTTAAATTGCTGACACATTTAATATCTAGTAAATACCCCAACGTACTTACCTTTGAAGCTCTGGACGACCAGATTTCTTGATTTCACTTAGTGCCTCCAAAATCGTTGTGGTCTTGGTTTATATTAATCACAATACTATTTTTGATCACTACGGCTCTAATGCAAATCTTCTATTCTTTTTTTTTTTCGCCCGGTTTTTTTTTTTCTGCTGTTAGTTGATACGTTTCCGACAAGATGAAAATATCGACTGAAAACACATAGTCATTTGCTTTGACAGGACACTTTTCAAGGCCTACTAAAGTTTTCAAAATTTTGCATTTCCTTAGACTGGACACTTCTCAAGGCCTACTAAATTTTTAACAATTTAAAAACTTAATTTTATCTCTATCTATTTTACAGCATTGTATTTCCGATAAATATTATAAGAGATTTTAGTAGTAGTCAGTTAGCTAAAAAAAAAACTTGCATTAAAAATAGGTAAGTAAAAATAGGTTTTAAAAATCAGTAATTGCCAAGATTTAATCTTGAGTATTTGCTTAAATTCTGGAAACTAACTGGTCATTAGCATGATGAGAATGTTATGTTAAATTAAAAAAGATGTTCTAAAAAGCTGTTGCAATATATATTTTATTTTTATTCTATATCAAGGGGTTATCTATTACCCACCCTCAGGATATTTAATTTTTGCTGTACATTTCTAGTCTAACAATAGTAATTTTAGTATATTTTTTAGGGGTTCTTTGGTATTTTTTCACGGATGCGATACGGTCTGTCCTCGTTTTTAATAAATATAAAAATAACAATTAAAAACACTTTGTATATTAAACGAGTGCCTCCCAGACATCGGTGGACATAATTAATACCGTTGAGCGAAAGGATTTGGAACGGCCGATGGACCAGGATGTTTCCGGAGGCGCTTGTCTTGTTGTTGCTGGTCGCCTTTAATGCCGGTTCGTGTTCTTCGCTGGGAAAGGATGACGAACGATTCCACGAGGAGCTGGTGGTTCGCCCACTATCCGGTGACCATGTCAACACCTATTTCCAGTTCACCACCCGCTGGCATTACGGGGAAAAGGATAATCGTGAGTGCTCCAATAGTGTTCCAATCCATTCCAGAGTGTGGTGGTTGCTACCAACCGGTGATTGGGGAGCCCTAAAATACAGTTTACGCTCGCTACAGTGAACTATTTTGAAATATCGATACTTGTAGCTCCCCCACCCCCCATTCTAACGGTTAAATGTCTTGAGATCTGCCCCAATATTTTGTTTTTATTTTATTGGCCACCATAAATTAATATTACTTTGTTTTTACTTAATGTTTACTTGAACTTTAAACATTATAAACTAATATGAGTTGATATTAAAACCTGTTCCATCTGCTCTTTCAGTTTACCATTCTTAATTATCCGTAGTGGATTAATTAAATTTAAATTAGGATATAGTACGTAATCCATAGCAATTTTCTATATTGATTTTAAAACCTTTCTTATTTGTAAGGGAATTTGTAATATTATAATATAATATGTAAATCCACTGTTCATTTTAAAACCTTCCCCCCGTCTGCTCTTTCAGTTTTGCAAACCCATTTAAATTAACTTGAAACATTATAATGTAGTATATAATTCAGTGCCCTTATTTATCCAAACTTTATTATAATGTTTACATAATTATGTAGTTCTACGTTGATTTTAAAACCTTTCTTATTTGGTTTTTCAGTTTACCAACCGCACTTAAATAAACTTGAAATATTATAGTATAGTATATAATCCACTGCCTACTCATACATATGTTGATTTTGAAACCCATCCCCGTCTGCTCTTTCAGTTTGGCAAACCCATTTAAATTTACTTGAAACATTATAATATAGTATATAATCCAATGCCCTTATTTATCCAAACTTTATTATAATGTTTACATAATGATATAGTTCTACGTTGATTTTAAAACCTTTCTTATTTGGTTTTTCAGTTTAGCAAACCCATTTAAATAAACTTGAAACAATATAATATAGTATATAATCCACTGCCTAGTCATACAAATGTTGATTTTGAAACCCATCCCCGTCTGCTCTTTCAGTTTACCACACCCAATTGACGCCGCGTGTGATTGCGGAGCTGCTGCAGCAGTTTGCCGTGAAGGAGCTGCACATTGGACTGACCCAGGGACTGTGGCGCTACGAGACGTGGGGCTACCCCATTGTGGAGGCGACCAGCGGGGCGGAGATGTGGGCATGGTTCAGTGGTAGCAATCTGACCAATGGCAACGTGGATGGCCAGTGGAAGGAGCTGGCCAACGTGTTCTCCGGCGTACTCTGTGCCTCCTTGAATTTCGTTGACAATACGAACAGTATTGCACCGCGGCACTTGATCCGTCCACAATTCATGCCCGCCAATGGCCAGAGATTCGTGCGATACGCAACGTTGCCGCGCGAGATTGTGTGCACGGAGAATCTGACGCCATGGAAGAAGCTACTGCCCTGCGGCAGTGCCTCCGGCTTTGCCTCGCTCCTCAATTCTGGGCATGTGCACAACACCAAGTACCATTCGCTGGGCCTGAAGGTGCGGGTGCTGTGCGAGGACCATGACGAGGACAACTGCATCGTGGAGCTGACACAGACCGCCAATTTGGTCTACGATCTGCGCCTCTTCGAGCTGAGCAACAATGACTTCTCACTGCGCCGCCTGTTCGGCATGGGACTGAATGGCTACTGTGAGCTGGCCTCGAGCTCCAAGATCTATGTGCAGCGCAACGAGCAGGGCGAACGCTTCCAACTGGTGCCGCCGCCCATGCACGAGGATGTGCGTAGCATCCGCGGTGGCCATAGTGTGATCTACTCCGTCTACGACATGCACGACCAGTTCCGGGATGCCGGCGAACGGCTGTTCAATGTGGCCTGGTTGTCGCCCAAAAGCGAGAATCGCCGACGTAATCTGGCCAGACCCTCACTGCCGCCCGTCACGGTCCATCGATATCTATTGGGGCATGGGCAGGAGCGGGGCAGGATCGTCACCGAGGTGACCAATTCCCACTACGATGCCCTGCCCATTATGGTGCAGGAGGTGGTGCCGTGGTATGTGCATGCCTACCTGCACACCCTCTCGATCCGAAGGAAACCGCAGCGGGTGAATGAGTACGGCCGCCAGCGGCTGCCCTTCAAGCTGCTCCACTATACGCCCGGCAAGCAGCGGGAGTTGCCCTCGCACCTGGAGATTGGGTTCATGCTGCCCGGCCAGACGTCGGCGCTGATCACCATCGATGTCGATTATCTGCTGCTCAAGTGGCTGGAGTATCCGCCGGATGCGAATCACGGCCATTATATCGGAGCGGCCATCGTGTCCAGCCAACTGCCGATGGGACGCAACTACACCGCTCTGCCGCCGGAGGGGCATCTCTTCGAGCACTCGTTCAATGCCACGCGACCCAGCTATGTGTTGAGTTTGCACACGGAGGCGCTGATTGTGTCGCTGCCCACGCCCGACTTCAGCATGCCGTACAATGTGATCTGTCTGGCCTGCACGGTGGTGGCCCTGGCCTTTGGACCCATCCACAGTGTGGCCACCAAGATGATCATTGTGGGCCGTCAGGCGTCGGCGCCCAAGAACTTCATCAAGAAGATCCTGAACAAGATCTTTCGACGCGGCAAGGCAGGCGATCAAACGGCAGCAACAGTACCGCCAGAAGCTTCAGAAGAAGTGACCTTAAACGCAGCCCTATCATCGGGATTGGGATTGGGATCGGGAGTGGGTTCGTCGAGAGCACACACCACATCATTAAGAGCGAGTGGTGACCAGCCGCTGCTGGAGGATCTCGACGAGGAGGAGGAGGAGCAGGACTAAGAGGTGATAAGCTCCACGGGAGTCGTGATAAGCTCCCACCAAAAAAAAAAAAAACCTTTATAATTCCAATAAAATAAATTACCGAAAGTATTCGTAAAACTCTCTCTTGAGATTTGGAAAACAATCAAAGGGACTATCTGCATTATTCGGGGGTATATGCAAACAGTATTTGAAGTTTCGTTTATAATTTTAAAACTGATTTTTGAATCTTCGAAAACTTTTATAAGACCAAAGACCCGAAACAAAATTCGAAAGTCTCAGGAAATCACCAAAATAAGATGATCTTACACTCAATAAATTTAAAAATACATTTTTATATTACTCCAAGCTGAGAAGAGAAACCCAAAAATAAAAGTGTAAGATAATAAGGTAAATACATATAAAAATTATTAATATAATTTTAAAAAAAATCCAGAAAAATTTGTGTTTGATTTAGAATGATATGATTTATCATATATTCCTTTATAAATCTATAAAGTATATTAAAAGTATTTTTACAATATGTAAACTTTCAAACTAAATCCCAATTAAAATAAAGCTAAGAGGTAAATGAAAACACAATATTTGATTTTATAACTTTTTCAATGTTTTTTATTTTTTATTTTGCATTTCGAAAATAGAAATTTCTAAATGCTATTTGATATATAATACATATATCTAAATGTTTTCTCGATGTGGATCATGAAGTAATCGGTACGGTACGGTATATCGAATCGGATTATATCAGATCGGATTAGAGCAGCGCAGAAATAGCCAAGCTCTCATTTAGAGCGAGAAAGATCGTATGCCTAGTGGAACTTGAGGAAATATATATTTAATATTATATTTAAATTTTACATTGCTAGGAAGCTCCCAAAAACGGTTTCCAAAATAATTTCCTTCTCTTAGGGTTACATTTTAGCTAACCTTAAATAATTTCTTTATTTAATAAATAATTTAGATATCAATTTGGAACTCTACAGCGCAAGCAAAGAATTTTAATAATTATTAACAGTGCCTACTAATAATGTTCAGTTTCAGTTTCAGTTTTCATGTCAAATAGTTCCGAATTAATTATAATTATTCAAGGATTTGTTACAATTATTGACATTGCTTTTTATCTGTATAGAGAGTGCTCACTGTACTCTGCTCGTTATCCTCTTGGTCAAATTTCCAATGATTTCCAACATTTCCCAAGCTTTTCTTCATAGAATATTATTTTGTGCTTCTTGAATTATTTTAAATGTTAGATTTATTCATGATTTTCGCTTGCTATTTATAGTTTTTATAGCTTTACTTTAAATAGTAAATTTAAGCTTATCGTATAAATATATGTGGATTTTACAAATTACATTATTTCACTTCAAAAAAACTATTGGAAGAAAACGGGTACCGAGGATAATTAAAATGTAAAATTGCTACACAAAAAATGCATGAACTTCAAAAACAGACATCTACAAGAACACAAAAATAAAAAAAAATTCTTTAAATAGTTAGGGGATTATTTATGCTTAAACATGCACTATTTTGCTGCTTCATCGTCCTGTTCCATACACTTAAGTATATATATGTATAAATCGTTTAGAATTATCGTTTTTTAAAGAGGAGCGGAACCTACTTAAGAGAGAGAATTAATTATATATAACTAGGATGGGTCGATTGCTATGGATAAGTAAAAACTGCAAAAAAAAAAAAAATCAATGGACCATTATAATAGTAATAGAAACTTGGGGTAATTCTAGGAAAACCCTTAAGGTATTTAAGATAAAGAGACTACACAGCCAATTACAAATCTAAAAGTGCCGTGGTCTGATTATAAATATATATCATATATCGGAATAAATAGTTTCAAAAATTACAAAAACCTGCCTACAATTTGGGGTTTCCTTAAGTTTTGTTTCGGATTCGCTTAAAGCGCTTTACAATACATGGAAACTGAGACTTTCATGACCGAACCCGAACATTTTTTGTTTTTGTTCTGTCTTCCCTAGAAATCGACCCACCCAATTTGTGTGGTTTTTTGGGCCTAGGACACGGTTTCTTGTTCGCTTGCGCATGCTAATCTGCTTACTTAAATCCTAAATCGCTTCTCTCAAGACGCACTACACACACACTGTGTGCTCTTCTTGTTCTAGAATCTACGGTTTCGGTTCGATTTCTTGTATGCTTCTACTACCTATTCCAGTTTTGTATTAAATCTTTGCATTAAGTTCGTCAGCTTGACCAGAATTCGAGGAAAAATGGTTGTGCCTTCTATTTGGGAACCCCAAAATTTTGTATCCTCAATTCTTCGTCTAATCGTTTTGTGCCGTTCTTTCTTCTACTTTAAGTCTTATGCTTATGCCTATGCTCCTCTCTTTCTCCTATTCGTAAACCTACTCCTACTTCAGCTTCTCCGGTTCGTACACTTAGCCCTAATCGTAGTCCTCCTCCTGCTCTCCTCTGTGCTCTGATATAATTCTTAGTCAAATGCCTAGTATATCTCAATCTTTTTCGTCCATCCATTGCCCGCTCCTCCTCCTTCTCCTCCTCGTCGTCGTCGTCGTCTAGTTATGCTATTACCCCGCTGCACATCCTCCTCCAAGTGGATATTGTTGTTGTTGTTGTTGTTGTCAATGGCAAAGCCTGTGAATCCGGTCCAGCTTCGGCCTGAGAACTACTTGTTGTGGAGACAGCCAGGCGGCAGCGGCGGCAATAGGCTGTCCCTTCCTCATTGAGGCGGCTGTTGGCCGTAGTAACCGTATGCACCGGTGGGTGGTGGCCCTTGCGGTGCTCCCGGCGGCGGCATCTGTGCCCCGGCGGGCCGATAGCCCTGATAGCCCTGCGTGGGCGGATATTGTGCATAGCCGCCGGCCTGGGGCGGCTGATGGTAGGCGTGGCCGGGATAGGCGCTCCCCGGCGGCGGCGGACCGTACGCTTGCGGTGGTGGCGGTCCTCCGTACGGACCTTGTGGTGCCCCCGGTGCCGGTTGGTATTGATTCGGCGGCATCGGCGGTGTGGCGCCATTCGGTGGCGGTTGCTGGCTGCCTTGGGCATTGGGTGCTCCTCCTCCCACGCCAGCGGATCCTCCAGCGGACGGCGGTGCCTGTTGCTGCTGCTGTTGTTGTTGCTGCTGCTGCTGCTGTTGCTGCTGATTGGGCGGCGGCGGAGCACCGGGCTGCTGATTGTAGTTGCCCGGAGTCGAGTATGTGGGCTGGACTTGCGTGGGCAGTGGTGCCACTCCGGAAACCACAACGCCCGGTGGCTGTTGCTGCTGCTGTTGCTGCTGGGGCCCGGTGGCATACTGCTGGCCAGCACCGCCGGGTCCGCTGGGACCTGCTCCACCGCCAGCACCTCCCTGCTGGGGCGGCGGCGTCGATTGCTGCTGCTGCTGCTGTGCGTTGGGTCCATTGGGATTGGTGTTGCCGGCGCCTGCTCCTCCGCCCACGCCTCCTTGTGGCGGTGGCGTTTGGCTGGGCGCCGTGGTGCTGTAGGCACCGCCCGGCGGCGGTGGTGGAGCTGCTCCGCTGGTGGGCGGTCCACCCGGGTAGCTGCTGCCCGGCGGTGCACCCGCTCCTCCGCCACCGGCCGCCTGCTGCTGCTGTTGCTGCTGTTGATAGGCCTGGTAGGGACTCTGGCCGCTGCCCGTGGGCGGCGGCGGTGGTCCATAGCCACCGGGTGGTGGTCCTCCGCCCGCTCCAGCCTGACCATACTGGCCGGGATTGGGCGGATAGCCCGCATAGCCCATGGGTGGCGGTCCACCGGCGGAGTTCTGTGGCGGCGGCGGTCCGTACTGACTCTGCGGCGGTCCCGGCGGCGGTTGCTGGCCGCCAGTGGGCGGTGGACCGTACATCTGACCCGGTGGCGGTGGTCCCGGCGGCGGCTGCTGTTGTTGTCCCGGCACCGGCGGTACCTGCTGGCTACCCGGTGGCGGCGGATAGGCTCCCGGCGGCGGTCCCTGACCGGCAACGGCATTTGGCTGATAGCCATGACCGCCAGCTCCGGCCGCCGCTCCGGCTGGACCGTGATGGTAGCCACCCTGGGCTGCATTCGGGGGCCCCGGGGGCGGTGGACCATAGCCCTGGGTGGGCGGGCCGTAGGGATAGGCGCCCTGCGGCTGGTACTGCGTCTGCGGCTGTGGCGGATAGCCCGGATAGTGGCCATGCTGCTGCTGCTGCTGCTGCTGCTGTTGCTGCTGATAGCTGACGCGGTACGGGCTCTGGGGCGGCGGTACACCGGGTCCTCCGGCACCCGGCTGTGGGCCCGGTCCGCCGGGACCGCCCTGCTGCTGCTGCTGCTGGTTGGGCGGCTGTTGGCCACCGGGCTGCGGTTGCTGTGGATTCTGGGGTCCAGGCAGGGGTCCATTGTTGGGACGCTGTTGATCTGCAAGGCGGAAGTTGGGCAAAATTAGATGGATTATGGGTCATAGGTTCTTGAAAACTAAACAAAAACTATTTAAGAAGCAGTTGTTTAGTTTTCAAAAGGCTAAAATTGTCTTAGCGAATTACACCGATTAAATTACAATTAAGTATGTATTATTTTTGCTTTTATACTTGTCTTTTACCACGTCAGCCAAATTGGTATCTGGAACCTGTTCAGTTAGTTATTTTTTAGTTAAGGATGTTTTCTATACTACAAATTTTAAAAAGAGATTTAATATTTGTCTATGTCTACATATGATTTTCAAATGAATTATATTGATTTTTATATATTTATAAAATGGCTTGCAACAGATTTAAAAAATCAACAATATCACAGGGATTTTTCGTTTAAACTTCAGTGCAATCGGGTCGAATTCATTCAACAAATAGTTCATCCACACCATGGACTCCATTTCTATAAACAAAATACATTGATTTGTTATCATTAACAAAGAGTTTACAAAACCAACGAGATCACGGCGGATTATTCAAAAAATTTCAAAGTGTCCGCTCCAAATTCCCTCAAGAGATAGTCGCTCCACGACTCTCCATCTTGCATGGTGTTAACTTCATCTTGATTGGTTACATCTAGCATGACTACATCTTGCATGGTTAAATCTTGCATGGTTATATCTTGCTTGGGTTTATCTTGCTTGCATACGTCTTGCTTGGCTACTTCTTCATGGGCTACATCTTGCTTGGTTACATTACACTTACTGGGCGCTGCATTTGGATTGATGACGGACTGACCCGGTCCCTGGTTTTGACCAGGTCCCTGGCCAGGACCCGGTTGACCCTGGCCCTGGGCGTTGCGGTAGACGGGATGCTGCTGCTGCTGTTGCTGCTGGGACTGCGGACCCGCTTGGCTGACCTGCGGTCCACCTTGTTGTTGTTGCTGTTGGCCGGCGGCCACGGCTGCTGCCGCCGCTGCTGCTGCTGCTGCCGCCGCCGCCTGCTGCTGCTGTTGTTGTTGCTGCTGCTGCTGCTGCTGCTGAGATTGCTGTTGGGCGCCCGGCGGCCCAAGGCCGGGATGTGGCTGCGGCTGCTGTTGCTGCTGGGCACCGTAGGGTGGCATCTGGACAGGCGGTCCCTGGGGATCGCCACCGACGTGCTGCTGCATGCCCATCTGGGGCGGACCCTGGCCCGGTTGTCCCGGCACCGGACCCTGGCCCACCTGCTGCTGCTGGGGCGGACCGCCCAGCATTCCGTGCGGTCCAGTTTGCGGCGTCTGCTGGCCGCCCTGCTGCATCGCCTGCGTTTGGAGGATGTGCGGCGGCTGCGGGAAAAGAGGTTGCATTAATAGACGTCCAAAAAGGATAACATATTCATAAGTTTTTATTTGTTATCCAATAAATAACATTAAATATTTCGCCCAAGCAAAAACTTTTTAACTTTTTAAATACTGGTAAAAAAAAAACATTTTATAAGTTCAAATTTATGTTGTACTCAAATATTGTTATTGTTTTGGTCTATTAATTATATATTAAGGGCAAACCTGGAGAAATTATAATATTGCCTATAGACCAAAACAATAACAATATTTACTTTCCTGCTAAATTTATTGAAATTAACTAGATAAATAAGAAGTTGAATATAGTGTTTTTATTTTGATAATAATTAAGAGAAAATGTACTGACAGTTATCATATTTGGGCCAAACTTAATCAGTTTAATAATACAAAAAAGAAAATTGCTATTTTTAAAGTTACAAAACTTGCGTAGTACAAACAAAGCCTTAAACTTGCCAAAATGTGTGCTTTTGTCTGGGAGACGCTTTAATTTGGGCTTAATTTATTTTACAATTGTTTTAATTTATTCATATTGTTCAAAACCTTTCCTAATAAAATAAGGCAAAGTTTACATTCCATACAATTAAAAAATAGTACAGCTTGTAAAACTTGTAAAATCATTTTAGTTGTATAGGTTTTATAAGGTAAGTAATTTTCTATGAGTTAGCAATACTGTCTACTAAACTTTGGTTATAATTCAATTTAGTAATTAATACAGTGTTAAATGGCTTTAAACAGATGATGTGAAACTAACATATAATAATGGAGATATAGTTTACTTAGGCCTATAGTCCTATGGACTCTAGCTATTTAGGGGTCACCCACCGGCAGTATTTGTGAGATGTTCATGGCGGGATCGGCCAGTTGGGCGAGGTAGACCAGATTGCGATGCAGGGCGACATGGTAGGACATGCACTCCTGCGCCTTGCCCATGCTCTGGAAGTCCTGGATCGTTTGGATGAGCCCGCAATTCTCGTCGAGCATCTTTTGTATCTGCGCGGAGTTGACTTGCGGCGGAACGCCTCCACCTCCACCGCCGCCGCCTCCTTGAAGATTGGATTGGCCACCGCGTGGTGTGGATGGTGGGGTGACCATTAGCCCGCCACCGATTCCGCCTCCTCCGACGCCGCCGCCCGAGATGATGCTCCCCGGTGATCCTGGTACGCCCATGGGTGGTCGTTGTTGTTGTTGCTGCTGCTGCTGCTGTTGTTGCATTCCCATGGGCAGGATGCCGCCACCTCCGCCTCCTCCTCCACCCCCTCCGCCAGGACCAACTCCAGATCCTGGCGGCTGTTGATTGGGGGCGGAATTAGGAGGCGGCTGTTGTTGCTGCTGCTGCTGCTGTTGTTGTTGCTGTGGCGGGGGAGGCTGCTGCAACTGCTGCTGCTGCTGCAGTTGCTGCTGTTGCGGCTGCTGCTGCGGCGGTTGCGGCGAATAAACTGCAGACATTTTACTGGCTGCAGTCTTCTTCTTCCGCTTAGGGGTTTTCTCCTGTTTTTCCACAATTTTAGCGGTTATATTAGACCGTTGGGGAAAGGAAAATTTTCGCAGTGTGCGGCGTTTTCTTCACATACACACACACGCGCGCTCTCACACCAGCACAATCACACACACGCACACGGACAGGGGCACACGACAAACGGCACGCACACACACACGTACACGGGGGAAAAGAAAACGAGAAGTTTTCCAGTTGCGGCCAATGGAAAAACGCCGGCTATGCGGATAAATTACTGCTATATCGATCAGTTCTATACCCTCAAAAGTTGGCACTCGGAGAAAGCATATTTTTCCTCAATTTTTCGACACTTTTTCGCAAATTGCAAGGAACGGAACGACGCTAGAGGTGGCAAACATCGATGTCATCGGCGTTGGTGTGTGTGAACGAAACGGAATGCGTTAAGGGCGAGAGTTTTTCAAAAAATCCTCTTTTTTGCTGATTTTGCGATTACCGAAAATTTAATCGCCACTGCACACGCGACCCCCAAAAGTGTGGTGCTTGAGTTTGCTGCCCGAGTTACGATTTGTTTGACGCTATGCACGATTTTCGGACACTTTTACACGGGCTTTTTTTGTTTTTATCGTCGACTCTTGTAGAGATGGGGGGACATCGATGCCGACATTTGTGTTATCGAAATATCGGTCCTATCGATGCTTACCCGTCTTCTCTGTTAGTTCGACGTTTCGCTTACATTTCGATGTTAGTTCGACGTTTCGCTAACATTTAACTGCAAAACTCAAGCCCACCACAAGCATGTAAATTGTAAACATCGATGCCAACATCGATGTCATCGGTGTTTTCATAATATCGGTCCTATCGATGTTTGGCAGAGACTTTCGATGTTTATCACTCTCAAGCAATCGGCCCACATGTTTGGCTAAATATTTAACCTTGCTTTCCTAGAAGTGCGCTTTTAAAATGAAAAGAATCAAACATATTGTTACGATAATTATTAACTAAAAATTTTTGATTTCTATTATTATTTTTAGAAGGGATATGTGTTTGGCATATGTTTTCAGCCCTTATTACTATTTATTAGCTATTTTGTTAGCAAGAGTTGGCAGCACTGGTTGCGGGGATTCAACAGGGTGACTAGTGCAATACTATAGTAAACAAATGCGTTTGTTTTGTCCCATAAAATGATTTAATGAAAAGATGTAAGTATATATATTTAATAATCAGTGAAAAGCATTTATTTTGCTGCTTTTATTCTAGGGCAATGCTGCACACATGTCGGGCTTGCATGGGAAGTTTCGAAATCATGGTCAACATATTCGATGTTTCCCCCGACTTGGGCATTATAATTTCAGATTTGATATCTCAGTGTACTGGATACCCGGTTTCTGTAGGGGATTCCCTTCCCGAAACCATCTGTAAGCCCTGTCTAAAAGAAACAACAAGTGCCTTTAGGATAATCAAAAAGTACGAGAAGAGTTACAAGTTTTACAAGCAAGAGGATAACGGCCAATTCAAAAAAGATATAGATTTACTGGGGAAAGAAAACAGCAACATATTGCATAATTCGGATAATGCCGAGGAAACGGAAATCCCACAATTTAAGTGCCAAGTAAATATAAATGATACCGGAGAAAATTTGACAGAAGAAAACTATTTCAAAAAAAATCGGTTCCAAAGTCAAGTTAAGATAGAGGATTTACCAGAAGATGGGTCTTCAAAAGATGATGTCCTCCAAGGCCAAGAAAATATGGAAGTCCCCAAAGAAGAAGAGTCTTCAAACCATAATCAGTTTCAATCCAATGTGAATATCGAAGATTTGCCAGAGAAACGGTCTTTAGAAGATCACCAGTTGCAGTGCCAAGTGAAGATGGAAAACTTCGAAGAGGATTTGTCTGAAGAAGTGGATGCAGGTGATGACCTAATTCAGGTGAAAAACGAGCCAGTTGAAGAAGACCTTTCAGAGGACGAAGACGATCAGTACGATAACGCAGTAGAGACTGAGGACGTCGAGGATGATGTCCAGGATAATAATGAGCACAAAGAGGCCCCTCGCAAGCACAAGTGTCCTCATTGCCCGAAAAGCTATTATCGCTCGTTCGCTCTCAAAGAACACATCATAGTTCATACGCAGGACAAACCCTTTCAATGTCCCCACTGCCCGAAGCGATTCAAATCGGCCAAGTATCTCAAAGAACACAACTCCATTCACACCGGCGAAAGGCCCTTTAAGTGCACCCATTGCACGAAAAGTTATCGCCGCAAAACCTGTCTTCAGCGGCATATTCAGACATACACCGGCGTTCGACCCTTCAAATGCACCCACTGTCCAAAGACTTTCACAAAAGACTATGATCTTCAGTCGCACATTCGGAATTACTCGGGCGAAAAGCCATTCAAGTGCTCCAAGTGCCCCAAATCTTTTGCCACACAGTCTGTGCTAAACGTACACAACCGAATTCACATAGGCGATAAACCATTCAAGTGCAACCTATGTCCGCGGGTGTTTCTTTGGAAGGCAAGTTTTGAGGGGCACATGCGAACACACACTGGATGCAGCACTTTCAGGTGTTCCACATGCTCAACTACATTTGGATCCGAATATTCTCTTAAGCGTCATACGCAGCGAACTCACAAATGATCTTTTACCACTAAGATGTGATCAGTGATCACACATTCTACGCAAATAGAACAAATGTGTACAAGAAAATCATTTGTATGATTTCATTGTTATTTATTTGGCTATATTTAAATTTTTTATTGTAATAAGAAAGTCTATATAAGAAGTTTATTTTTATGGTTTCAATATAATTTTAGCAATTTATTTAGTTATGTACAAAATTTAAAAATCGTATCGTATTTTGCTAAATTACAATTTTATATTGTAATAACAAATAAAAAAATTCTTTGGGCAGTGGTATGTTTTAACATTTTCTTCAATCACTTGTAAATAATTGCTGATATGAATAAAAAAAATGTTCTTTCTTATTTAAATCAATCGCTTGGTGAACTTATAAATCTTGATTTTGTTGACCCCAATTTTAAAAGTTTGCTGAACTGTGTATGTTGCCATAAGCGGTAATTACGAGAAACCCCACAGATTCTGGTCTATAGCCTAATGTGAATTTGAAGTGGGCCAACATATGTTGCCATGTCTTGTGTGCACTAAATAAAATGCAACTTTTCGCCGGATTATGCGCATGTGAGTAGAACACGAAATGACTTTTTTCTGTTATTTCGCTGTGGCAACTGTTTCTGCGTGTGCATAAGTGAATGAGTTTGAGTGCATACACTGGAGGAAAAATCATAGTTGAATTTGAAGGCTAACACTTTGAAAGGATATTCAGAAAAGTTTCAAGACAAAATAAATTGCATAATATCAGTAAAAATAAAAGATTTGTAAAACTAATTATATTGATGATATGGATTTTATGGGCAATGCCCTAAGGCTTTATTTTTTATTGTTTTTTACTGATATCTAGGGATGTACAAACATAATTTAAGAAACTTGAATAACCATGATCTGTGTCTATGAATTTTTTGTATGATTTCCGCTAAAACTATGTTTTAGCTTAGGCAATACTACGATAAAATGTTCATCAGTATACTGATTCCTATAGACATGCATAAATATAAACAACATTTAAACAAATTTTTTAATGATTTGAAATCATCTATATTTTTTTTTTCCTCTGCATGTGTTTGCCTGCAGCTTTTCACTTTATTCATGCATAAACTTGCCTGAGAAAGTTTTCGCGTGGCAAAAAGTTGCCACGCGGGATTTGCTTGGGTTGCGAGTCGACCCCGCAACCCCGAAACTCCCCATTTTGGACACATGCAAATAACATATCGATGCTGCTTTTTCAAATAAACCCAAACCCAAACCCAAACCCAAACCCATACCAAAAACCAAACCCCTACACACTCCCATCCGATGCCACGCCCCTTTTTGTGGCTTTCGTCTGTCGCCTGTTGTCCTAGAGGGGATTTAGTGGCATTGCCGGAACGTGCTGTTGCACATGCATCAATTTGGGTGCCACCGCAGCCCCCATTTCCGCAGCCCCTTTAACCCCTTTTAACCCCATAGCACACATTTTGCAGACCCACCCCACACGCACATTAACCCGCTGCCTGCCCGCTTGACAAATGGGTATTTCTTTAACATTATATTCTATTTTTTTTTATCGCGACAATGCCATTAGTTTCATAAACTTTAAATCATTACATTTTTATTTTTCCATTGGTGCTGGCAAAATCTTAACAGTTCAAATTTGTTGATTCTTTGTAGCATACTTTTTTGCTTCTAATATTCTAGATTTTTTTAAAAAACCCTCTTTTATGTCAATATTTATATATTAAGCAAAAAAAAAAAATAAACATAAATAAGTTAAGAAAAGCTAAGGGGTTAAGATGAAATATAAAGGGGTCGCAAATATTATGTGCGGGCTTTATAAATCATAAGTTGTTCACAATGTTGCCCTGCATTTGATTTCTGTTGATTAAAAAGCCGCAAAATTAAATTTTATGCCATAAATCGTTGGCCCTTCCGCCTCCGCCTCCACCTCCGCCTCCCCCCTTCACCATAATTTATATAAATTTGTTTGCAATTCGGCCTGCAAATAATTGCAAAATGCGGGTCGTCATGCGAGTCGGATAAATTTTCTTCACCTTATTTATTTAATTTTATGTTTCGTACTCTTTCACAGCATCGCATTATCCAATTGTTTTCTGCTCTAAAAATAAGCTTAGCTTAAATTTGGTTCTTTATGTTTATAAAACTTCTTCTCTTGCATACAATTTGTACATAAAGTTAGCAAATAATTGCAGAATGCGGGTCGTCATGAGAAATGAATAAGTTTTCTTCACCTTATTTATTTATTTTCATTGTTTTCTGCTCTAAAAATTAGCTTAACTTAAACTTTGTTCTTCATGTTTTTATATCTAGTACAGGTATATTTTAAGCTTCTTCTCTTGCATAAAATTTGTACATAAGTTTGGCAAATTGAGTTTTAAAACTAGAAAATATTAAAAAACGCCCCATGTTATAATAATTGCATACATTTATTTTGCTTTAGCTTTAACTTTTCGCCCGCAACTTTCGTGAATTTCTCCAACGTTATTTATTTATTTTAATTTTTATGCATTCTTGTGTGCGCGCCCCCAATGGCTTTGATTATATAAATTGCGTATACGCAGTGTGTGTGCTGTGCAAAAGGGCAGATGGTGTTTTGTGGCCTCTCTTAGGTGTAACATGTGTGCCAAGGTGCAAAAAAAAAAATACAACAAAATATATATATATACATATATATGAAAAAAGGTAACCGACTCAAGGCCAAAACACTTGACTAGAACGAGATGGCACCACAGACAGACAGACATGAATGGGCGTCGGTGGGTGATGGGCGGTGGCAGGTAGGCGGCTGGCCGGGGAGGGGCGTGGCAGGTGTGCGTGTGAACCACCGAGAGGTGCAAAGTAGTTGCCACTTAAAAGGCGTAGAAAAAAAAAAATAAAACGAAAAAACTTCAAACAAACAGCAGCCAAAAAGCTTTGAAGGGTTTTTCACTCTTTTTTTCCCCCTGTAGCTGCTACCGCTTTTCTTCTTCTCCATCTTCTTCTTCCACTATCCTTTAGGGAGGCGAGGGGGCGGGGC